GCAGTAGTAGTAGTGGTAGTAGTAAAGAGAAATCAGATGCATCCTCGTGTGTGCGCACGCCGGGAAGTGGGCGTTCTTTTTTTGTTTGTCTCAAGGATGTTAAAACCTGCGGAGTGTCTTCTGTGTCGAGCATCGCTGGCCTGATGGCAGTGCCTTCGCTGCCGATTTCCCGGCACGGACGATGTATGAAGCCGTGGTTGCAATGCCTGGCAATCCTCCTGGTGCTGCCGTCCCTGAGCTCGGCACCACCCAACTTTGCAGGCTTCAATACAAAGCACCGGTGGGCAATAGGGGCATGCTAGTTTCATTCTGTTTATGTCGGCGGAGGGTGGACATCGCCGCAAGGGCACGCAAAGTGATTCGGTCAGAGGTTTCCCGGATATTGGCTCGAACGTTGGACGCCTCCGTAGAGGGTTCAGAGCCAAAGTTGAGTCTTTTGTTTGTCTGGCTGGGTTTTCCGTCTGGGTTGTCCTTTGATTTCGGATTTTACATGGCTGGGAGTGGCTTTGCCTCGTTTTGTGCACGGGGTTGGTGCACATGATGTGTGGGAGTTTAGTTTGCGGGTGGTTCTTGCAGGGGTTCAGGAATTTAAGGCTTAGGCCTTCGGCGCGGGGCTTTGGGATTCAGGGTAAGACGGGTAAGAGCTTGTGCACGGAGGACCTAGGGTTAAGGGATGTCAAGGGCCTCTTTGTGCAGGGTTTGCGCGGGGCAAGCAGGGCCGTACCTCATCAACCAACATGGGACCCATCCCAGTTTCAACCGAAATAGAGCAAGCTCCGAAAGACACAGCCTTGTGGCAGGAGTCACAGCGCCATCCATGCCACCGCCGCGGAGAGCTCTTGGGGGAAGCCGAGGGCTGCAGACGCAGATTCTTCGAGGATCTCAGGGAGGTGAGAAAGCGAAAGATCCCCCGTCCAGATGGAACAAGATTCGGCTTTGGCTCACTGATGCCGAGAACCGAAAGCGTTTTGCATCGATGGGGGCTGCAGGTGTCTTGAGCTACGGCGTTGTGTCGAATGTCAACTACATTCCCCTCTTCGCTGGGGCATGGTACCTCGTTTCGGCACGGACACACATCTCTCCAGCACATCAGTGGCCTGTCTTCCTCTCGACCTATGCCACTCTTTATGTCTTCAACAACGTGCTCCGGCCAGCCAAGCTGGTTGTGGTTGGCTTCGTGACGCCCAGGGTGAATCGGTGCTTCGACTGGGTGATGACGAAGTTTGGTATTGGCAAGAAGCTCGCTGTTACCTTGACCTACGTCATCTTGAACTTGGGTGCTGTGCTGCTCATGGGCCTCAGCGTGCTTGGTGCCAGCGTGTTGGCTGGGGTTCCCATCTGGTGACTGGCACCTTTTCTTTTCAGCTTGGCTGCCCCGTTGGCCCTTGGAGCTTTTGGAGGATTCGGCTCTCCCGACTTCGGCGCCGGGGCGCGTCTTCCGCCTTCGTCTCCGACCAGGTCTAGGCCTGATAAAGTCCAATGGTCCAACGTGGAGACTTCGGAAGCTTTCGCTCGAGCTCGTGGAGGACACCGAATCACCTGAGGCGGAATGCTACTCTAAAGCTGCGATATGAAACTTCTAAGCCTAGGCTAACTTATGCACAATGTAACTACCTGCTGTTGTTCCCATTGATGCCTGTGCTCTCAATCACCTGTGCGGTCCTCTTAAGGCAGGCAGTGAGGCACCGCCACGCACCAGGCGCGAGCATCGAAGACATGAGGAAATGCAGCATTGCCTTGCTGGAGCATCTGGAGCCAACCTGTGTGGAGTCAAGATCAGCCCATGATGGTGCCTGCACCCAATATGTCCGAAGCACGCTCTTTCTGCTTAGCTTAGCCAGGAGGGTGTTAAGGAGTCAGACGACAAAGGACACATCCGTAGTGAAGTTGTGATTCTTTCCCGCCGCCCCCCCGGACTACCGCAGCCTACGCCTTCTCCTGAGCCTTCCCCTAAGATCAGAGCCCTAAGAAGCCACCTGCAGCTCTTCGCCTCCGTCATGGAAGATGGCGAAAGGCCCAAGGAGCAGGAGGGCGCCCGGTGCCCGGTAGCTCTCGGTTTAGCAGTGTAGAGTTTTAGGGGTTTAGGGGTTTCGGGGTTTAGGGTTTAGAGGTTTATGGGTTTAGGGGTTCAGGGGTTTAGGGTTTAGGGGTTTAGGGTTTAGGGTTTAGGGTTTATGGGTTTAGGGTTTTCGGGTTTAGGGGTTAGGGTTTCCCTGCCATGGCCCAGCTCGGAAGTTTCATCAACGCCAGCTTGAGAAAGCAAGCCCTGAACCCCTGATCTCCCCTAAACCAAGAATCCGAAACCCTCAAAACCCGTCTGAAAGCACCGACTTAAACCCTAAACTGTCGGCCCTAAACCCTAAACCCTAACCTTAAACCCCCCTAAAAACCCCGAAATAAACCCCCCAAAGGAAGCCTCAGGTCTCCTCCGAGGGCTCCGACTCCCAAACGCCTCCGTCCGAAGAGCCCCAGAAGGCTGAGATCGAGGCCCGGGAAGGGTTGGGGCCCCCCCAAAAAGAGGGTTTCAGGTCCCAGAGTATGAAGACCGTAGAGATATATATATATATATAAATACATATACATATAGATAGATAGATAGATTGGTGTAATTTCGGGTCACAGTAGTAGCGATTAAGGTCTACTGTAGGGTGAGTAAAGGTGATTAGCAGGTTTAGCGTGATTCGGATTGAGGGTTACGGTTACGGCCCCCCAAGAGGGTTTAGGGTCATTAGTTATCAGGTTCAGGGTTTCCGGCAGGTCCCACGAAAGGCTTCAGGTTTAGGGTTAGTGCTTATTAGGGTTTAGGGTTAGTAATAGGGTTTGTCTTTTGGTGTTATTCGGGCTTCGGGTTTAGGGTTACTAGGGCCCAGGAAAAGGGGTTTAGGGCTATTCGGGTTTGGGGCCTTGGGGTTCAGGTTACTTGAAGGGTTCAGGAAAGCTAAGGCCAAGGGTTTTCCGGGGTTTCGAACTCTGAGTTGCTAAAGCGGTTCGTGGTCAGTTAAGGATTAGGATTGCGGGTTTAGGTTTATTAGTTTATTCATATGGTTTAGGGTTAACGGTTGTTCGGGCTTAGGGTTGGGGTTTTTTTGAATGTGCACCTGAACATAAGCTGTTGAAGCCTGCTTCCTTGTAGGGGCATTGCCTGTAAAAGCTTATGTTTAGGTGCTTTAACTAACTTCTCGGGCTCCTGAAGGATTGTGTATTTTACGACAAACAATACATGATATTAGAGTATATGACATTGCATTTTAGCCTGTTATGTTACACATTGTATTACAATATACTATTTTATTCTATGGTTATCAAGGGTATACCTTCGCTGATCGGAAATCTGGGACTGTCATAAATATTCCGAGGAGAAGCAACGGTTTAGGGTTTAGGGCAGAATGTCGATTGAATGCTATTTCCAGGAATTGCAGCAGAATCGAGTGGGGGTATCGTGGGGGATTGAAGTGGCTAGAGATAGCAACCTCAGCAACTGGTTATACTCTTCTTTTGCAACCATTTTATCATTGTTGGACACGTTAATCAGGGTGCAGATGATGAAGCTGGGCCACACAGTAGACATCCGGATAGCTGGATAGCTCATAGTGTGGCTTCATCCACTGTTGAGATGGCATCCAAGGTTCGATCAGAGTCTATCCCTACCAGCTGAGCCTGGTTGCTCTTTAGAGCTCTTGAACCTCAATTCCCCAAACCCTAAATCCTACACCCAGAACCCTAAGCCCGAAACCCGAGCTCTTCAACATCACCATTTCCCTAAAACCTAAAACCCTAAACCCTTAAGCCTAAACCCTAAACCCCTTTAGCCTAAACCCTAAAACCTAAACCCTAAACCCCAAATACACCGGGCCTGTGCATGCCTTTCACGCTTGTGCTCACCGGGCGACCTTTGGGCTCAGATTTGCCTCGAAGCCGCACGTGGGACGTCAGGGCTTCGTGTTTGTAGGGTTTAAGGTTAAGGTCTAGGGGTATAGGATTTGGGGCTTAAGGTTCTTGGCGTGGAGTACATGGGTTTTGATGGGGAGATTCTTGAAATTAGGGGGCCTTAGAACATTGACTAGGGCTTTAGTTATAGATGAGGGTCCCTTATTCTCTACGTTCTAGGATCCTTGCCGAAGGCTCCTACAAATTCAGGGTCCCTTGGTTCCTGACCTCGGGTCACTACAAAATTATGGGCAAGCTGAGTGCAGAATGTACAGCAAACACAGTCCACGCAGCTGCACATTTGTTCGAGTTTACTTGGATAAGTTGTACATAGCCACAGTTGCTACAGGTCGCAGAGACATCACATGAACCTTTATACTTTGAAGTCGCTGCTGTACTGCCATGGCAGAGTCAATGGCAGCATCAGGTGCAAAGCCCAACAGCACTAGACGCAGAGCCTTGGAAATTGAAGCTTGTTGCCGGTTGTCCGGAACCAGGTGAGGGGCATGTGATGCAGGCCGGTCGGATGCACTTTCAGCTTACTTTAGGACTTCTGGTGCGACGAATGTCCTTTCGAGGTGGTGGTTGCATCGACTGCACACATGAAGGCTCGGCAGCCTAACAGCCGCATCAAAGCTTTACTGGCCCATCGACTGGAAGGTGGCAGCCGTGCAGAAACTGCTGGCTGAGGCTCGGGTCCTACTTAACCGTGCTCCTTTGCAGCTTTCTGTATAATGTAATATAATATAATATAATATAATATAATATAATATAATATAACTGGAATCAACGAGCCCAGGAGTCTGCCAACGTTCAAGGGGTGAAGGCAGCGAGTGGTGTAAACGACCAGCCATTTGGCCACGAGGCCGTGCTCAGCTGTGCCGGCGACAGCGAGTGCCACCCCCGTGTAGGAGACGATCCGGGGTGCATTGAACCGACTTGCGGATGCCGGCAGCTAAGCTTCCTCGATGTCCTGCATTTGCTGCGGACTGCGGTGTTTGGCAAATCGAAGGCCAAGTTGAAAGCACCATCCGCTGATTTATACGTCTCTATGGAGAATGGCTTGTTTGAGGCGCGCGCGCGCGCGACCTGACTTGTCGAGCACTCACCACCAAAATTTGCCGTGCACCGGACAGGTGCCTGGCGATGGCCACGAGATGCTGTGACCTGCCCTTGGTTCATATAGGGGCCTTAACAATTCATTACCCAACTTTCTTATTTTTTTGGGGGGTTCCTTAATATAGTTTTTGTGTACTATACCCCCCCAAGCCCTACTCTGATTGTTGAGGCCCCTATATTTACTCTGATCGGCAGCACCGCCTTGGCCCCAAAAGCCAGTTTGCTTCAGGCTTTGATTTGGCCTGGGTTGCTATCGAGGACCTCCTGCTCTCAGCAATCATGGAGTTCAGGATTTGCTACTAAACCTAAACCCTAAACTCTCCAACCCTAGACTAAACCTAAGCTCTATATAAACCTAACCCTAAACCCTATAACCCCAAACCCTATAACCCTAAACCTACACCCTCAACCCTATAACCTCAACTGTACCCTAAACCCCTTTAAGCTTCGTGCTTTTTGTGCTCTGCCCGATGGGTTAGCCTCCCGCAGGATGCGAGAGGGCAAAGATCCCTGGCTCACTCGGCGGGGGTGGAGGTGGGAGTTCTGGGCATGGGTATCTTTCGTTACCGATAGCCCTTAACGCCTCATTATAATATGCTGTAATATTCAGATACTATAGTATGCTATAAGGTACTCGAATATGCTAGAATATTAAGATAGTATATTACACTAGAAGGTACTGTAATGCACTCTCAGGGTGTCTATTGCTACTCACTCGGATAGTAGTTGAATGTTCTTGGTAACGGTGCCTGTACGCGCCTATGCGTTTACAAAACTGGTGTGAGATAGAGTTTTAGATGAGTTGCCAGACTGGCCTTGCTTAGGTAGGGTCAAGGATTGATGCTTGAGGCAAGAGTTTTTTTCAAAGCGAAGTGCCACAGGTCTTCATTTTGTTCACGCCGCCGCCTTCGCTAGTTGTCCCAACGCGCGCAAGAGGTCTGCATGCCTTGTGGCTTTTCGCCAGAGAGCCACATAGTGGAGGTGATGAGAGGTACCTCAAGGTCAACATGGAAGCTTATTTGCCACAGTTAAAGATGCCGTTACTAGCCCTCCCCCCCCACCCACCCAACCCACAACCCCCGAGACCATGAAATATGCAAAAACGCTTAAGCGCATACAGGCGCCATCACCATGATCTTATCGCATATCATCGAATCGGGAGTTCAGTAGTGAGTTTGGTATCTTCGTGATATTCACGTTGTACTACGGATTGTTTGCGGAAGTTTGGCCGAACCGAAGGGACACTTTCTTATATACTTTTTTGTAAAAGTTGCACTTACATGATGTCACATGAGCATGCGAAGCCTCATCATGTTTGCACTTCCGTGACAGATGCCCGGCGTAGCAGTATCGGCTGCCAAAGCGAGCTGCTTCTCCAAAACTGCGGGAAGTGAGGCACGGATAATCTTTTTGCATTTGCAGCTTGCACCAGCAACGCTTCTGCACAGTTGCAGAGATTTCCAGAGTAGTTGAGTAGTTCAGAGTGTTTGTTGCAGACTGCATATCATCTCAACTTCGTCTGATTCTAGACAGTGCAGGTTGCAAGAGCTGCAAATCAGTCGCCTTCGAGTGACCCGGTGGACCCGCAGGACTAGTGCCCTCTCTGTCTGGCACTCTATGCACCGTGCAACATGTATAGACAAGGATCCGCACGCCTACCTCACCAATGGCCTGTGCTCGCGGGAGGCCCCCCCCCGCCGGTTTTTGTGGCAACCGACGAGCATAGTTGGATTCTGTAAGGCAGTGGATGAAATCGAATCATCCTGGCAGGAACTGCTTCTGAGTGCCTTGCGAATAGCGTTGGGGCAGATGAAGCAGAAAGCAACAGCCTAGCGACGGCGTGTCGCTAGGCCTTTCGCCAGAGCTGTTTCACAAGCAAAGCAGAGCCAAAAAGATCCTCCTGCACTGGCTCGGTGATGCAACCGGAAATTAGGGCGCAACACGAGTCAGGCCGTTGAAGGCGCCGCCAAGAAGCCTGCAGATGGTGCGGCAGAGCCAGCGGGCAAGTCGGAACCCCAAGTTTTCATGGAGTCCGGAGAAGCCTTCTTGGCGCCTGCCACCGCTGCGGAACGTCTGGTGCGCGCTAGGCCGACGACTCTCTTTCAAGCTCTCGGCGACCAGGCCCGAATAAGCCCAAGGCGACTGTAGCTTTTCCCCCTGGCTCTGAGTGTGGCCTTAAAAGGGCAACCGTGACGTCGCGAAGCATTTTGCCTCCTTCTCGGCGGCCCTAGCGGCGGTGCCCGTCGTTTGCCCAGCGACGAGCACATGAGTGTTGATTGACTCCAACGCATGTACGCATTCTGAGGTTCTGGGCCTCTTTGCGACGGAGCATCGTGCTCATCACACCATCCAAAATGTGTTAGTGCTTAGGTGGATTCTGGTGTATTCGCGACTGAGGTGGGCATTGCGATCTTTCGTGGCCGAGGCTGGCACGAGATGGATTTATGGAGGTGTCGTCGCCGCTGCATCCTCGGTCTGCAGAGACAGAGGTAATGGCAGGAATGGCAATGCTGACAACAAGACAATGCCAGCTTTCCTGGAAAGTCTTATAGTACCCTATAGTTACCATATAGTACCCAAGATCGTCGTCACGATCGTCCACCTAGCAGCCATGCATTCTACTGCACTTGTGAGCACGGGCTCAGGTCGCCCTTGTCAACGTCGTCTTGATGGCATTTGTGGCATGGTGTTTCGCCGAGGGCTTCCCGGATGCAGACGGCCGAAGCCTTGCTGCACCGAGTGCTTTGCTGCGGAAACCCAAAACCTACAAACGAATCCTGATAAACCCCAGACCCCTAGACCCGAACCTTGTAGCCCGCAGGGGGTTTTCATGCGTCTCGAAGCCTTCTCGGCTGATCCAAGCAAGGCAAAAGCCAAGAGAAGCTTGTGACGGACCTTGGCCCTGGAGGCAGTTCTGCACAGGGATCCATGGGATGAAGGCTGGGGAGGCGAATCCCAAATAAGGGTCGTTATAGTTACTATAAGCCATTACAAGGGATCCTTGATCCTTCCTATCTTCATCCTACCCGTAAGGTGGCTAATCCTCCACGATAACATTGATGGGCATTGATGACAGGTGCCAAAAGCGAAGCCACTCTCGGCGACAGCGCTGGCAGCGAAACAAAGAAGAGCAAATGATGTCGAAAAGCTGCTTGCATCTTGAGTTGAACAGAAGATGACTGGTGAAGCTATCCAGGCATGCAGGGCATGAAATGATAACAAGAATAACGACCATCATTATCATCGTCATAATCATAATCATAATAACAAGCATAAGCTGAGTGTCACGAGTGTGGATCTGTGATTGGGAACGTCCGCAGCAGAGCATTCGTCGAAGCTTTCTTCATTCTCTGGACTGGGGGGAGTAAACGAAGAAAAGCAAGGCTCTCCCCCTTAAATCCCCCTTGAGCCCCCCCTTAAGCTGGCGGCAGTCATTTCGGATCCACTGTTGTCTTGACTGCAGATTCATAATGGAACCTTTGGCGATGACTCGGGTGTAGTGCAGTCAGCAAATAATTTCATGCTGCAAGAGCTCTCGCGCATGGACTCAATCAAGCTGGGTCTTCCCCACCGTAGACATTGGCGGATGCACGGTGCATCGCAGCCATGCATGTGACTGGGATCGGCAAGCCATGCAAGCCAATATCTGGCAGTGATCTGGTCATCATCTTTAAACGGACATTTGAATCTTATCTTGTTAGATTCCACGAAAGAATGCCAAAGGACCGGAGGAACATCATCAATGAAGATGCCAGCAGCCTTTCTTCCTGCGTTTCGGCGCCGTGGTCTGGGCATGGCACAGTTATACTTGTGCCCCTGGGTTGCGTAAGGAGTCCTGGGTCCAGCTTGACAAATCCGCAGGGCCCAGTGGCCCGCGGCTGCCACACTTCGATGACCGCGAATGCCGATAGCTCGCTGCGTTTCGCTGACGGCCCTATGCGGCAATTGTCTTCGACGTGCCGCGAAGCTGCCTCTCGCGAGATTGCAGCATTTGCCCATCAGTTGTATTTGCTCTCGTCAAAGAGTTGGGCTTGCCGTGCAGCGCATGCGGCGCAAATGTCAGCAAGGTGCGTCTCGTCCGCGTGCTCACCCCCGGCAGAGAGCCACTGAAGGGTCGTGGGTCGCCACAGGCTGCAAGAAAAGACCACGAGATTGCGAGTGCAGCAACAAACAGGCAAACGGTGTCTCGGGAGGTTAAGCGACAGGCCTTGTAGGTGCCTCACCCCCGGTAGAGTTCGACGCGTCGGCTTGCGTGGCTCTGCGACCTTCGCCATTGCCCCTCGTGGACGGTTGTTGCGTTGCTCGCACGGGCAGCCCGGCTCGGCCGGTCGGGGTACCACACGCACACGGTGCTATGCCCGGAGCGCCTTCGTGGGAGCATCCAGCAGGATGGACGGCGCTTTGAGAAGAGAACGGCCGCGGGCTGCGAGACTGCGAGGGGGTGCAGCCTCAGCCTGCCCTCCGAGCCAGCCCTGAGCGCCAACAACGCCAGCACTTTGTTCATTGCTGCGCAACAAGGGACTCGCTGCACGCAACGCGTGTAGGTTGGCAAGTTCCGCTACGCCAAACCTGGAAGTCCCGTCAGCCGCCTTCCTCCATCCAACAGCGGTTTTAGTGGTAATCGTCGTCGTCGTCGTAGTCGTAATCGTAGTAGTAACAGTAGTCGTAGTAGTAGCAGTCGTAGCAGTAG